CCTACCATATTGACAGAATTATGCCCCCTTTGGAACTTAGAAATTTTGGTTAAAGTTTTTTTGTAAAGTCAAATATCTCAATTATTGCTTGAGATATTCAATTGAAATTTAAAATACTTATTTATAGTAACAATGTACATCAGTTTGCAAAATTGCATAACTCTGTCTGCAATATTTGCAGAATTATTTGCCCCTTTGAAACTTAGAAATTTTGGTTAAAGGTTAACAGTCTTCAAAGATATTTACTTGAAACTTTACACATGCACTTAGGGTCATAATTGGAGGGTCATAATTGTATGTCACTGACCAAGTTCCATAACTCTATCTTGCATTAAGGCTGATTCATATCCCCTTTTCTACTTAGTCTCTTGGTTAATGTTTACATGCAAGTTTTACATATCTCAATAACTATTAAAGATATTTATCTAAAACTTCACATATGCATTTAGGGTCATAATTGTAGGTCACTGACAAAGATCCATAATTCAGTCTTGCATTTAGGCTGATTTTTCTCCCCTTTTTATGCCCCCACAATGTGGGAGCATATAGCGTTGCACTTGTCCGTCCGTCCGTCAGTCCGTCCGTCAGTCAGTCAGTCCGTCCGTACGTCCCGAAATCTTGTGAACGCAACTCCTCTTTAACCGGTTGGCAGATTTTGCTTAAACTTACAGGGATGAACAACTTTAATGTGTAGATGGTAGTAAAGGAAGGAATTTTCGCTGCGACCAAATTTTACAGAATTATGGCCCTTTGTTGATTTTTTCACTAGATACTATGTAGAAATTTTGTGAACGCAACTCCTCTTAAACCGGATGGCAGATTTAGCTTAATCTTACAGGGATGAACAACCTTAATGTGTAGATGGTAGTAAAGGAAGGAATTTTTGCTGCGACCAAATTTAACAGAATTATGGCCCTTTGTTGATTTTTTCACTATATACTATGTAGAAATTTTGTGAACACAACTCCTCTTAAACCGGATGGCAGATTTTGCTTAAACTTACAGGGATGAACAACCTTCAGGTGTAGATGGTAGTAAAGGAAGGAATTTTCGCTGCGACCAAATTTTACAGAATTATGGCCCTTTGTTGATTTTTTCACTATATACTATGAAGAAATTTTGTGAATGCAACTCCTCTTAAACCGGATAGCAGATTTTGCTTTAACTCACAGGGATGAACAACCTTAATGTGTAGATGGTAGTTAAGATAGGAATTTTTGCTGCAACCAAATTCAACAGAATTATGGCCCTTTTTTTATTTTTTCATTATATACTATATAGAAATTTTGTGAACGCAACTCCTCTTAAACCGGATGGCAGATTTTGCTTAAACTTCCAGGGATTAACAACCTTAATGTGTAGATGGTAGTAAAGGAAGGAATTTTTGCTGGGACCAAATTTAACAGAATTATGGCCCTTTGTTGATTTTTAGTTTTCAACTTGTGGCACATGTAGTCCAAAAAATATTTGACCTAGAGTCATAAGATTGACAGAACAGTGGCGTGTGGGGGCATCCGTGTCCTATGGACACATTTCTAGTTCAACTTAGAAATTCATGGTAAAGTTTTGTTTGTAAGCTGTTATCTCAATAACTACTGAAGGGTTTGCGCCTTTTTTGGGACAATTTTATGCATTCATAATAATAAAGCAGTGATTTACTTGATAAAACATCTTAATAACAAGCATTTGTACCTTTTCTGTCAAATTTATGTATTCATAGGTAATTAGTATTATCATACTCAATAAAAAAAACCTTGTGACATTACCTTCCGAATAGTCAAGCCAATTCTGTATAATTAGACTCTCTGTAAGACCTATAACATGAATTTATAAAAAAAAATTAGCCCTTTTGTGAACTTAAAAAATTTAACAATATCAAGGCTCTTTTACTATCAAGCACTTAGAATAGTCGAGCATGCTGTCCTACAGACAGCTCTTGTTAATTATGATGTCATTGTTAAAATTTTCATGATGTAAACACGCTACAGGGGGTGTATTTTTTAGCAACCTGTACTTTAAAGAAAAGAAAAAAAGAGGTATTTCTATACACTTGTTATCATTCCTGTTCAGCTGTCGGCCAAAAATACATTACATTTGACACTAACCTTTAAATGACATTAAAGAATTTTATAAACCTGTTGCTTGTTTTTAAAAAGAAAAATACTTTTACATTACATTTGACACTAACCTTTAAATGACATTAAAGAATTTTATAAACCTGTTGCTTGTTTTTAAAAAGAAAAATACTTATAAGATCTATTCATTATGATGATCGCGTTCTTGTTATTTATTTATTTATTTTTATTTTTATTTTTTTTATTTATTTAAATTATTTTATTTATTTACAATTATTATTTTTCAATATAGAGATTTTATTATTATTTATTGATAATGAAGTGAATTTATAACTGAAATACTGAATGTCAGATGTGAAGCTGGGAGACACATAAGAAAGTAGTCCCTAAAAAATAAATATGAAATTTGACTTCCCTAAAAAAGAAATATGAAATTTGACTCGGCCCACTTTCATATAATTTTTTATTTCATATTTATTTTTAAAAAATATGAAATATATATTGACTGATATAGCAATATATTTCATGGGTAAAATTAAATAATATATAATATGTTGAGTTACATTGTCTGTTTTAAAACAAAAAGTCCAGCTATAATAATCACTGCTGTCGAAGGCTCGAGGTGAACTATTAGTATCAAAGGGAGATACTCCGGCGTCATGCGTCAACAATCGTCTTCTCTGAAACTGTTGGGCAGATTTACCTAAAATTTGGTCTGTAGCATGTATGTGACAGTCAAACTTAAATTTGCTCATGTCATTTCAATTGGACCCTTTTAGGGGTCAACAGAGCTAAAAATAAAAAAACCCTTTAGACATCTTCTACTACCGAACTAATAGATGGACGATCACCAAACTTTGTCTGTAGCATTCTTGGCAATCTTGGGTAGTCTTTTGTCAAGTGTGCTCATATTAATTTGATTGGCCCCTTTTAGCGGCCACTATAGCTATAAATAGAAATATCAAAAGAAAAAAAAATGTATTTAAAGTGGCATATAGAAATCAAAGCACAGAAGGCGCTGAATTTGTTTGGGTCTCAGAATGTCAGAAAGGTGAAGGTTGTGAGATTATAAAACAATTTGTTTTTGTAAAGTGCCACCAATGCTTTCCAGCGTTTTAATTGTAGTAGATTGGCTATAAGACTTATTGCAACACTGATATTTGATCCAATATTTATTTGACTTAAACAATTTGAAAAAAAAATGAGTTGCCTTAACTAGGATTTGAACTCCAGACCTCTCGCTTCCTAAGCGAGCGCGCAAACCCCTCGGCCACGGTGGATTTACATGTTAACGGCCTGAAGAAAACCATATTATTCTAGTTATGGTTTGTAACGACGCTAACTGTTGTTTAACATTTGTGTAAATAATCATGGCGCTTACTATAAGCATGTATATCTATAAAGAATAAAACAATATTAGAAATCTTCGACCATTCGGGAATTATTTTGCTTGAAAATTAATCCGCCTGTCATGTGACCATATTTACGCAGTGATCTCCCCTAAATTTTTCGGCCTAAAGGCTAAGTGTTACATATAAAAGGAAGTAACCACTTCAAAAAAGCGGACTACTTTCGGCACTTGCAATTAACAGCATTAGAGTCTGAAATTTCGCTACCATTATTTGTTTGGTCTGATGACCCAAACAAATAAAAATGTAACCAGAGTGATAAAAAGAAAAAACTGTAATTAAAGTGATATAGAATAAATGCAACCAGAGTGATAAAAAGAAAAAAATGTCATTAGAGTGATATGTACATGTATATATAGAAAAATGTAGTGCAGGGCCCTCGATCAACCAAATCCCCCACCAAAATAGTATGTTTTTTCCCCCAAACAGAGGTAAAAATTCCCCCTCAAAACATATAAAGTGTTAAAGAAAAAAAATGAAAACTCATGTTGTTTTTGAAAAGTAAAATCCATCTTTTGACGACTTAATTTCGTAAGGGGAATATTGTATACAGTACATGTCTGCACGTTTCCGTTTGTTCCCCCCCCCCCCCCCCTCCAAAATCTACCATCACATATTGGCCTTTTATCCTGTAAAAATGCTAAAATTTCAACAGAAATATGCAGAAAAAAAATCACAATTCCCATCAACAATTCGATTTCAAATTGTTTATTCATGAAATCATTAATATTTTTTTTTTGTCTTCAAAATGTTACATCAACCACGGTAAATTTTGTCGTAAATTACAAACTTGTAAGTTTTGTTTTCATGATACTTGATGAAATAACTAATCGAAAACGATCTTATAATAAACAATAAATTCAATTTTATATAATTTACATCAACTAGAAATGTGGATGTGTAAACAGAAAACAAAAAAAATTCATTTGTCACATATTTTCACGATGCCGATTTTTACGATTGTTTTACAAAGTCAAGAAAGGAAAGCTTTGTCTTATTCTTTATCTTAGAAATGTAGTTTATGAATAGAATTTACTTTAGGTCCATGTATTGTTCATATTAGTGGAAATGGAGATATTTGTCTGAATGTGTTTCTCGATGCTCATGGGGGGGGGGGGGTTCGAGTGAATCATAAAGAAAGCTAAGCAGCATAAAGGTCTGATGGTGTAAGGTGTTAAAAACTTTTCTTCAAATCTTATCAATTACTTCTGAACAGCTAGTTTAGTGTTACCTATTTGGGATTTATTAAAAAAAATAATATGCATGTAAAAAAAAAAGCTTATATATTATATAAGTAAGTTTATTTGATATTTGATCATAAAAGAAAAGAGGAAAATTCCCCCCATACACTAAAATTCCCCCTGCTGAGGGTAGCGACCCACTTCCCCCAAATTGGATTGAGGGCCCTGTAGTGATAAATAGAAAAATAATGCAACTAGAGTGATTAATGTTATTAAAGTGATTTATAGAAAAATGTAACTTGTATATATAATATTTTGTGACTATTTATTTAAAGGAAGAGGATTATCCATCTATTGTATTGGGAGTGTTTGTGGAGCATCCAACACCATTTCTTAGAGAAGCCTTACAGAAGATTGCAGCATTAGATTATCCTAAACAGAAAATTGATTTCTTTATTCATTCATCTGTGAGTGAGCATCTCTTATACTAGATAAATTTGTATTTCTTATTAATTCCATTTTTAGCTCAACTTTTTTTCAAAAGAAATAAAAATAGAGGTATTGTTACAGTCATGGTGGCATTCCAGTCTGCAATCTTCAACCTTGATCATTACGTTTGAAGTTATTGATGCATTAACCATCTAATATAAAAAAGTTTTTTTAAGTTATTTTTGATATCTTTACATTGTAGCCCTGGTTTATTGTGCCCCCACTATAGGGGTGGGGCATTTACATTTACCCTTGTCCGTCCGTCTGTCCATCCATCCTTCCATCCCTCTTTCCGTCTGTCTGTTCCCTTTTTGTGTGGCACTGTTCCCTTTTTGTGTGGCACTTAGCTCAAAAAGTAATTGACCTAGAGTCATGAAACCTTACAGAAATGTTGATCAGCATGTGAAGTTGTGCACCTGCATATTTCCATGTGGATATATATAATATTTTTGGATTTATTGCCCTTGACTTAGTAAAAATTTCCAATTTTCAACTAGTGTCGCACGTTGCTAAAAAAATATTTGACCTAGAGTCATGAAACCGTACAAGAATGTTGCTTAGCATGTGTAGTTGTGCACCTGGGTATTTGCATGTGGATATTTTTAGTATTTGTAGAGTTATTGCCCTTGACTTTGTAAAAATTTCCTATTTTCAACTTGTGTCGCACGTAACTAAAAAAGTATTTGACCTAGAGTCATGAAACCTAACAAGAATGCTGCGCTCAGCATGTGTAGTTGTGCACCTGGGTATTTTTGTGTGGATATTTTTAGTATTTTAGAGTTATTGCCCTTGACTTAAGTAAAAATTTTCAATTTTCAACTTGTGTCGCAAGTAACTCAAAAAAAAATAGTTCACCTACAGTCATGAAACCTTACAAGAATGTTGTTCAGCATGTGTAGTTGTGCACCTGGGTATTTTTGTGTGGATATTTTTAGTATTTTAGAGTTATTGCCCTTGACTTAGTAAAAATTTTCAATTTTCAACTTGTGTCGCAAGTAACTCAAAAAAAAGTTGACCTACAGTCATGAAACCTTACTACAATGTAACGTTCAGCATGTGTAGTTGTGCACCTGGGTTTTTATGTGGGGATATTTTTAGTATTGTAGAGTTATTGCCCTTGACTAAGTAAAACTTTGCAACTTGTGTCACAAGTAACTCAAAAAATAGTTGACCTACAGTCATGAAACCTTACAAGAATGTTGCTTAGCATGTGTAGTTGTGCACCTGGGTATGAGTTATTGCCCTTGACTTAGTAAAAATTTACAATATTTAACTTGAGTTGCACATAACTCAAAAAGTTTATGACCTGCAGGCCTGAAAGTTTATAAGAATGTTGGTCAGCATGGGTACTTATGCACCTTGGGGTATTTCTTTTGGATTTATTCAGTATAAGTAGTATTTGCCCTTTTTCTTAATTAAAAATTTTTAGTTTTCAGCTTGGGCACATGTAACCAAAAAAAATTTGACCTAGAGACATAAGATTGACAAATCCATGGAGTGTGGGGGCACCCGTGTCCTATGGACACATTTCTAGTTTGTATATAATATGTAAGCCTGATTAATTAAGCATGAACGTTTAACTTACTTGTTTTCCTACCAAACTCAACAGTTGTTGTGAAAAAGACATCCCACATTCAAAAAATATCTTGATGTCTCTTTGACAAGTCTAAATACTAATTTTAAGACTTATTTTATGTACAGTCAGTTAGTACATGTACATGTATATACTCTAAAACAAGGTGTGCTATCTACAGGATAATGCAAACATATTGAGTTACATTACTTTTTTCTCATTTTGTATTTTTATTTTCAGTTACTAGAAATCACCAGAATGAGATAGATTTATTCTTGAACAAGGTTGGAATATTAAGTCTGTCAATGCTATAGGTTCATATGACAGTATTGGTGAAGCAGCAGCCAGGAACTGGGCCATGTAATTACTTTGTTTATCTTATACATTTCTATCTTAGAATATACTTTTAAATGAAATATTGAGAGATATTGAGGAAATGATATGCAGTGGTAAATTTTTCGTATTTTCACCGGTATCTTGCCAGATAGCCTAATTAATTTGGCGTGAACGGTTTGACCCATTTTACAGACTTTTTTTTCTTACTGTCAAACCGTTACGCCTAATTTTAACTGTCATTTTTACGCACGGAAAATCTACCGGTAACACTATCGATAGTTTGGACTGATTTTTACTGCTTAAACCTGAAAGTAACTTCAATTACCTCTAAAGATCAATAGAATATAAATTTTAGTACAAAACTTCTGCTAGAAAAAATAGTAGATTGTACCTGTCTTAACGCATACATGCGATTTATTTCAAATTTGTACTGTCTACTATATCTTAGGCGGACATGTTATGACGTCATCGTAAAAAATCGATTCCGTGAAAGCTGGTAGTAGCCACCAGTGTGTCTAGCAGGTAAGTGTGGGTTACGCATGAAGATTAAATTAAACGAAATATCGGGGGAAATAAATATATTCATAATTTTTTAATAAATATGTGCATTATCAAATACTATTGAAAAGTATCATTGTATTTAACCTAAAATGCAATGGTCGCAAATAGGCTCTGTACAAGTACTGTCGTTTAATATTTTTTAAATATTTTAATCCATATACTCAACATTTATCAATTGGTGGTTTGCCTTCTTGTTTACTGCTAATGACTGCCAAATGTCACTCTCGGATAAAATACTGTCTTCATTTATACATGCATATTTATATGATAATTAAGAACGTAAAAGAAATATTGAAGGAAACTATTTGAAATACACTTCAAATTATTCAGTATTTGTACAAATAATATTTCAAGAGCTCTTTTTCACCGATTGCCGATATATAATACCAAATTAAACCTATTGATAAAGTTAAATGTCTTCTTGACGTACTTTATTAATTTACTAAAAAGGAATTTTATTGTGATCCAGCCATATGCTGTGTAACTAACTATTAAGGAAGGGTCACATATTTTAATTGAAATAAATTTTAAGTAGAGGATATTAAAAAAAAAGTCATTGAGCAGATCAGAATTTTCAAATGAACAGATTAAGAGACTTATAAATGTATAAGGTGTATGTCTTGTTGTTTCATACTGTTTTGGTGACACTTTTGTTTGTGTCCCTTGTTGTTTTCTCGTCTATGGTAAGTTTCTTCCCTTTGCCCCTAGTTTTATTTCGCCCCCTCCCCCGAATTTCCTATCCCCTTCCCCTGTGCTCGTTAACTTAGTGGTCCTATTAATCATTCATTTATTAATTTTCTTTGATTTCCTTCTCAAGTACATTTTAGTGATAAGCCTGCCCGTGCTCTCTCTTGCACCCTCTCCCGTTTTAATTTAGGATCCTCCTGGGCTCCTTGCCAATGGTTCATGTTCCTGGGTCGTGTGGGTTTGCGTTCATTGAACGCCGCCTTTCCTTGTTCACCTTGTTTATCATATTGTATACATGTATACCGAACCGTAACAAACAGATAATGATTATCAATACAAGGTTCGGCAAGCAAGCAGAAAAATGTAAAGAAACAGAAAAAACTTATCCACATTCATGTATCCACCCTCCAAAAAAACCCCACCAAAAACGCCTGAAACTGCAAAATAGAAACATAAATACACAGGAGTGCCAAAGACGGCTCTGGTAGGTTCAAGTGCTCCTTTCGCCGGTTTAAACAGAATTGATCACTTAAACATAATAATGTTGAAATTTTTAATCAACATCCACAGATGTGTACATAATACGGCGGTAATCATGGATCTTTCAATGTGACACATTCGAGGTGCTGTTCAACGGGAACTAGATAACATGGAATTTTTAATGGGTATCAGAGGTTTTGGTGCCTTTTGCGTCAGTCGTTCCAACATTTCTCCCATCTGTCTTACATTGTTATGCTATTCAACATCTAAATAACGGTCACTAAATTTCCGCTTGCTGTGTTTTTATCATAAACCCCGTCAAATCTGTGCGACAATGGTATTTACTGAGGACTGTCTGAAATTCCATTTTATAGTTAGAAATTTTAAGATTTTTTTTCAGAGTTTTAAAGTTATTTTTGGTTGTTTTAAACTTCTTCCCATACACCAACCGTCCTCAATTTCTTTAAAGATAATAAACTAGAAATTGATATGGAGTGTAAAAAAATTGAAATTCTTCTTTGCTTCATCATGTATAGTATAATTATATTCATTAAGATGTACTTACAATTACATTGTATTTTCGTATGTGGGAAATCATGGCAGGGTTATAAAATAAAAAGGTAGTTCAGAAATTTCACCTAATGATCACAGATGTTTAAAAAATCCAACTTAATAATATCTAATTTGACAATTTAAACGGACTTAAATGCAGTATGATCTGACATCGGACATCATAAACTATTTAATTTCTAAAGTAAGGTTATCATAATTTCCTTTACACATTCTCTTTTTAATGCTGAAATATTTGTGTGTGAATAAAAGAGTTATTCCTGCAATAATTCATATAAATAACATAAACAAATTGTTAATAATAAAGCTTGGCAAATACAATCGATTGCCACCGATACCTGTGTTACACCATGGATTTTACCAGTGTTTTTACAAATTTAACCATGACAACCGCTTTCCAATATGGCCGCTTTCAATAATTTTCAACGATTAAAAAAAAATTAAAGTGGAATATTTAGACTTCTGTTCGACTTTGAAGTATGATGATTTGGAAAACCTTGCATAAAAAAACGATTCTCTTTCAGGTTAATGTAGACCGTTTCTTTGAAACGTTTCTAGTTTTCGCTCCCAACAACTTCTAATGGAAGCGTCCGTGCATAAAAATGCAGTTCGTGGTTGGACTTGGAAAAAGACAGCGCCCGTCCAAATTATCTCGGTGTCTCTTTGACAAGTCTAATAAGTTGGACTACTTGCCAGACTACATGTACTTTTTTCTACATTCAGCCAGTACACAAAATGAAAGTGGAATTCTTTTGAATTGTAAAATAAAAACTACTAAACAAAAACTTCAAGTTTTTATATAAATACAGAATATTTTTTGTTTTCCTTGTATGAAAATTGCCACATTTTACTTGTGACTACCACCACTCGTGAAATGATTCATACTGTTTGATGAAAATAAAAAAAAACTTGAATATGCTCTTCTTCTATATTTTGATATCTATACTGTTGGTAGCTCAATATTAGTATTTTTGTGTCGCCTTGAAAAGGTGACATATAGGGGTTACTTTCGTCGGCGGTGTCGGCGGCGTCTGTGTCGGCGTCGTTGTCGGCGTCCCCTAAAGCTTGTCTGGAGCACAACTCAGTCACTATAAGTCTGATTGACTTCAAACTTGGTATGCATGCTTCTTTCAATAACCCGAAGTGCAGAGCACATCGGACCGGTACTCTGCAGTTCTTATTTTTTGAGTTATTGCCCTTTGTTAATTTTCATACATTAGTTTTGTCCGGGCCATTTCTCTTCAACTAAAAAAGCTATGGACTTGAAACTTCATAGGATGATAGATCTCATTAAGAAGAAATGCAGTGCACAAGAACCAGTACTCTGCACTTCTTAATTTTTGAGTTATTGCCCTTTGTTAATTTGCATACTTTATTTTTGTCCGGGCCATTTCTCCTAATGTATAAAAGCCATGGACTTCAAACTTCATAGGATGATAGGTCTCATTAAGAAGAAGTGCAGTGCACAAGAACTGGTACTCTGCATTTCTTATTTTTTGAGTTATTGCCCTTTGTTTATTTTCATACTTTAATTTTGTCCGGGCCATTTCTCCTTAAGTATAAAAGCTATGGACTTGAAACTTCATAGGATGATAGATCTCATTAAGAAGAAATGCAGTGCACAAGAACCAGTACTCTGCACTTCCTAATTTTTGAGTTATTGCCCTTTGTTAATTTTCATACTTTATTTTTGTCCGGGCCATTTCTGAAAAGGTGACATATAGGGGTTACTTTCGTCGGCGGCGTCTGTGTCGGCGTCGTTGTCGGCGTCCCCTAAAGCTTGTCCGGAGCATAACTCAGTCACTATAAGTCTGATTGACTTCAAACTTGGTATGCATGCTTCTTTCAATAACCCGAAGTGCAGTGCACAAGGACCGGTACTCTGCAGTTCTTATTTTTTGAGTTATTGCCCTTTGTTAATTTTCATACATTAATTTTGTCCGGGCCATTTCTCTTCAACTAAAAAAGCTATGGACTTGAAACTTCATAGGATGATAGATCTCATTAAGAAGAAATGCAGTGCACAAGAACCAGTACTCTGCACTTCCTAATTTTTCAGTTATTGCCCTTTTTAATTTTCATACTTTATTTTTGTCCGGGCCATTTCTCCTAATGTATAAAAGCCATGGACTTCAAACTTCATAGGATGATAGGTCTCATTAAGAAGAAGTGCAGTGCACAAGAACTGGTACTCTGCATTTCTTATTTTTTGAGTTATTGCCCTTTGTTTATTTTCATACTTTAATTTTGTCCGGGCCATTTCTCCGTAAGTATAAAAGCTATGGACTTGAAACTTTATAGGATGATAGATCTCATTAAGAAGAAATGCAGTGCACAAGAACCAGTACTCTGCACTTTCTAATTTTTGAGTTATTGCCCTTTGTTAATTTTCATACTTTATTTTGTCCGGGCCATTTCTCCTAATGTATAAAAGCCATGGACTTCAAACTTCATAGGATGATAGGTCTCATTTAGGAAAAAGTGCAGTGCACAAGAAATGGTACTCTGCATTTCTTATTTTTTGAGTTATTGCCCTTTGTTTATTTTCATACTTTAATTTTGTCGGGCCATTTCTTCTAAAGTATAAAAGCTATGGACTTGAAACTTCATAGGATGATAGATCTCATTAAGAAGAAATGCAGTGCACAAGAACCAGTACTCTGCACTTCCTAATTTTTGAGTTATTGCCCTTTATTAATTTTCATACTTTATTTTTGTCCGGGGTCATTTCTCCTCAAGTATGAAAGCTATGGACTTGAAACATCATAGAATGATAGATGTTATTGATAAGAAGTGCAGTGAACAGAAACTGCTGCTCTGCACTTATTATTTTTTTAGTTATTGCCCTTTGTTATTTTTTATATTTCATTTTTGTCCTGGCCATTTCCCCTAAACTACATTGTTCACAAGGCGACACATCCGACTCGCGGAGTTCTAGTTTATCCCTTTAAAATAAATTGGACTTTTCCAAATTTAAAGCTGGGCATATCCATTACACCTTTTCAGTAAGTAAAGGGTTAACTGAAACATTTTTAAAGAGAATTTACGTGGCAAATATCAATTCAATGTTTTTGTTTTATTTTCATATAGACAGAGTTTTACAGACTAATTATTTAGGACAGTTGAAAATCCAGTTCAGGGTGTATTGCTTGTCAGGAAGATACCATTAATCATGGGAAAAAGTAAGATTTTATAAGTAATTTAACAGTTACATTATGATAGTAGGGGTGGCGGATAGGTGTGATGCCAGAATTATAGTGTTTTTTTAGTTCCCTACCAGTTTAACCAGAGGAAACTTAAGGTTTACCCTCAGTTTTGTTTTTTCATTTGTCCGTCTGTCCATTCGCATTTTATCTGAAACAAACTTCTAAAATCAACAAGAAAACTCATTGACACGCCTTTAACCGTTCCTTTTTTTCCCTGCTTTTTCATTACCTTCTTATTTTTTTCTATTTTTCTACCTAAAACTCCTACAACTACTCCTACTGTTTGCATGAAAAATAGAATACCACCTGAGTTGGGCCTAGTAGAAGACTTATGACCTTTGACTTTCAACAAAGACATGATTGCTATATAAAGAGTGTTACAAGAATATAGAAATATATAGAAATATTAACAAATATTTTCTCATATTCTCAATGTGCAATCATCCATGAATTTATGACAAAGATATGACTAGACCCAATGTTTTGAAATCCGAATATATATAACTTTCATATTTCTAGCTGTTTACTAGGTGTTTGTGTGTGATAAGTTTTCCTGATATTAGTATGTCACAAAAGTCTAAGTTAAACCTTAAACCTTTAATCTTCAAACATGGTCATACTCATAACAAATTTAAACCAAAACATATAAAATATGTCAATGAATGACAAATATATTGACTGGACATGACTGTCAATGCATTACCATATCATGACTTTGGACATTCGAATATGAATTTGACCTTTCGCCTCCTGAACTTAATTTTGTTCATTATATGTCATCTTAAAGACGTTTTTGGTAGTTTTTTTATGCGCATCGTTATGCGCTTCCAAGAAATATAATTACGGATAATTACTCTTCAAAAAGAAGGTTAAGTTGAATAGTACTCGGATAACTGTTTAAATTTCTGCTATAAGCAAAAAATGAGTAAATAATACTAAATAAATGTTCAGGAGGAGATCAGTTTGAAAGAATAAGAGGTCAGATAAAGGAATTCTCCTAAAATTAGCATTGATGATGATTCTGCGCGCGTTACCCCACCCACTTGTGGTATAGTGACGAAAATGTGTCGCCACTTGATTACTTGCAGACAAGATTAGTGTGCAAAAATGTTAAAAATGATATATTTTAAAAATGTTGAATAAATAACAAAAATAATATCTAAGAAATGTTCCAATTTTCATTATTTTCTTTGTAAATTTCTGAATACTTGCTTACTGTTCGGGTATGTTAGTCGAGTGAAGAAATAAAATGGCTTTATATAACTTGTTTTAAAAACATTATCAGTATCATTTACTTCATAGAACATCAAAAGAAATAGAACTTTATATTACAATATGATTTTGTTGTATATACGAGGGGTGTCCCAGAATTACGTGGACTTTTGCTATAACATTTTTTTTTTTTTAATGCATTTTTTAGCAAATTTGTACACAATTCCTTTAACATATCCTTAATGAATATGTCCATTATTTTTAAATTTCTAACATTGCTTCTCTATATTTTACGTCGCTATAGTAACGAAGTATGCGCAGGGCGGGGCAGTCCAATATTTTGTATTAATAAGTTGTCTTTACTTTTGTATATCTTGCACATTTATACGTTAAAAATAGTGCGACGTCGTAACATATGCAGTGACGTCATATGAAATTTTGACGTCATAGCTGTTTCCGTTATTGTTTACCAGCGGACCAACTGACAACCGTTGCTCTTGGATATTTAACAAAAAATGACGTCCACGGATTACGCGGAACATCGGACTATTCATCAAGTTTGTGTTTAATCTTGAGAAGACGCCAACACAGACGCAGGAAATTTTGGAGACTGCAAAAATGAGACCTTCTGTTTGTCGATCACTAGTTCTCAAGTGGCATAAGCGTTTTAGAGACGGCCGAGAGGACATTGAAGACGACAAGGGTCGTGGGAGAAAGTCAACGTTGACTGCGGCGTCAATTAAGGAAGTAAAGAACGTCATAGATCGGGACAGGCGTTACACCAAGGTCAATGCTGAGTACTATTCAAGGGTTAGCAATAATTTTGTGTCTAAAAAAAATGATTTTTAAAAATTAAGCCCTTCACAATTTTCTCCGCTTCAGCTTTCAAGAAAGTGAACTCAAACTGCTATAGTAAGCAGTGCGCATGATAGGTTATTTTCCTTGTCTTTGCGTACAAAATAAACTCCATAATAATAATAATAATAATAATAATAATAATTATGATAATAAAAATAATAATATTAGTAATAATAATAATAATACGGCGTCAGCATTATCACCGTCGTCTTTAACACTATTATCGTAACAAAAAGTTAATAGTAATACTATGATTTATTATTATTATACAGGGCGGTGTACGACCAGTGGATATATCGACACCATAGGTGTATTGAGTTAGGCGGCGACTATGTTGAGAAAAACTGACATTCGACGCCACGCATTTATTAACAACTAGCGACGCCACCGGAATGTCGTCGTAACGTCGGAATGGACTGCCCCGCACCCGCTACCCCTTGTCTCATTACCCTGCCCACAGACACTGATCCAGTTGCCAGACAACTTTGAAATTTGTTTGTACTAATGCAATAAAGTTGCATTTTGTTCATGTTAATTTTGTTTGTTTTTATTTTCAGTAGTTTTTGAGTTACAGCAAAAGTCCACGTAATTCTGGGACACCCCTCGTATGACAATGCATTTAGTATAACACTGATATTTCTTAAGAAAGCGTGGTAATTTTGACAATTGGCATATGCCGTAACTATGGAAATTGCCCGTTTATAAAAAAAACTATCTTATATTTGTGTGCCCCCACTTTAGTGGCGGGAATTTAGATTTACCCTTGTCCGTCTCACAGTCCGTCTGTCCGTCTTTTCTCCTTTGTATTGCACATAACTCAAAAAGTATTTGACCTAGAGTCATGAAACTTTACAGGAATGTTGATCAGCATGTGAAGTTGTGCACCTGGGTAATTTTGTCTGGATATTTTTAGTATTTTTAGAGTTATTGCCCTTGACTTAGTAAAATTTTGCAATTTTCAACTTGTGTCGCACATAACTCAAAAAGTATTTGATCTCGAGTCGTGAAACTTTACAAGAATGTTGATCAGCATGTGTAGTTGTGCAACTGGGTATTTTCGTCTGGATTTATTTAGTATTTTTAGAGTTATTGCCCTTGACTTAGTAAAATTTTGGAATTTTCAACTTGTGTCGCATGTAACTCAAAAAGTATGTGACCTAGAGTCATGAAACTTTACAGGAATATTGACCAGCATGTGTAGTTGTGCATCTGGGTATTTTTGTCTGGATTTATTTAGTATTTTTAGAGTTATTGCCCTTGACTTAGAAATTTTTTGCAATTTTCGACTTGTGTCGCATGTAACTCAAAAGGGATTTGACAAGTCAATAAACCTTACGGGAAGGTTGCCCAGCATATTTAGTTTTGCACCTCGGGTTTTGCTTGTGGATTTATCCAGTATTTGTATAGTTATTTCCCTTGACTTAGTAAAAACCGTTTCATTATGTTATTATTTTTTCTTGAGTGCTTGAGTTAGAATCAACCAACTTTACAGGAATAATGATCAACATCTCTAAATTACAGGAAATATGATTCACATCACTGTGAAGCTATGCACCTGGGATTTGAATGTGGATTTTTTTTCAGTTTTGTTAGAGTTATTGCCCTTGACTTACAGTAGTATACATTTGCAATTTTCAGTTTGTTCATGCATAGCTCAAAAAGTATTTCACTTGTAGGCCTGAAAGTTTACAAGAATGTTGGTCAGCATGTGTACTTATGCACCTTGGGGTTTGCTTGTGGATTTATTCAGTATTTGTAAAGTTCTTGCCCTTTACTTAGTTAAAGATTTTTAGTTTTCAAAAAATATTTGACCTAGATTAATAAGATTGACAGAACAGTGGTGCGGTGGGGGCACCCGTGTCCTATGGACACATTTCTAGTTATTTCTGTTTTTGAATCCACCATAAAAGTTTACTTGATTTATCAAAAATGTAAAAATTCTATGAAAGACATTTTTGATAGCTTTAATTATTTACAGAATTCATGTCATATTTTTCTCATTTTTTGTTCAGTTAAGAAGCATGAAAAAAGAAATATATTCAGATTATCATTTGTTTTATACAGAACCCTTAGATAAAGCAGGTTTTGTATTAAATTATGCTTGTTGTGTGTGTAATATGCTGTCTTATAACTTTTTATAACACAGTTTGGCTATTTTGACAGTTTTGAGATATATGGTTACCATGGAAACTGCCATTTTAAAAAAAATCTAACATGTCAACATATATATTTATTTTTATTTTTGAATTCGCAATGAAATTTTACTTATCATACAAAAAATTTTGAAAATTCTTTGAAAGGATTAAATTTTCATAAAACTGTAGAAAATGTCTTTAAATGAGTTCTTTACAACAGTATTTACAAAAGAAAATTTTGACTGTGTACCTAACATGAAAGATAAGACTGTGCTAAAAGACCTTGAATACATACATATCTCTGAGAGTGAGGTGTTGAGTTTACAAAATGAACTTGATCCAAATAAATCAATGGGTCCAGATGATATACACCCATACATAATAAAGAGTCTGGCTGATGTTTTTGTTGGGCCGTTAACCGCTATATTTAGAAAGTCACTTGAAAACGGATTACTTCCAAATGTATGGAAAGATGCAAGAGTATCGCCAATTTTTAACAAGAGCTGTCGATAGGACAGCAACGCTCGACTATTCTTGGTGCTTGATAGTACATAAGCCTTGATAATGTAAAATTTTCTAAGTTAACAAAAGGACAAAATTTTTCTTTAAATCCATGTTACAGTTATAGGCCTTGGAGAGTCAGTCCTATTATGCTCTAAAAGAAGAGTATAAAATTTCAACTTGTTTCAAAGCCATATGTCAATGGACTTTAAAAATATTTGAGGTATTAAGAAAACTTTAAAGTAAATTCTAAGTCAAAAAAGGCGCA